AAGTATTAATAGAATCATCCAACAACCATGTGGAGCATCAGGCTTGACATCTTGAGGATTGTCTGGAAAGCTTGTGTTTTCTCCATTCTCCAGAGTAGGGGGGTACCAATTCAATCTGAAAACAGTGTATCTACCAGTGACCAAGACAACTCCATGCAAATTTTACCCAGCACCCATGAGGCCTGTAGGAAAGCCATTTTGGAGCAGATATGGAAGCATGTGACCTGTTCAGGCAACACTCACAAGAAGCAGAGAATATATGAAATGGAAACTTGAAACACAATGGAATGCATAAGGGAACCTTTATTTCATGAAAGGTTCCCCTATGTATTCCATTGTATTTCAAGCAATTTCATTCCTCATAGATGTAAGGGATCCCTGAGCCTCTGTATTTTTTACTGCGTTGTGGATTGTGTATGTTTAGAACCACAATGTCACCAATGTTATGAATTTGTGGTGACAAAAAGGACTTTGGGAAGAATAATTCCCTACACAAATATGATATTTTATTTCTAAGCTTTCTTCCACTATAAATAAAAAATTAAGTTCTCAAAATAAAAGTATCTGTATGTGAAAAAAATAAAATTTACTAAATTGTGTCATTTGTGCATTATAAAAAAAATTTGCCTACGAAAGGGTTAAAATAAATAAAAGAAGCTTTTGAAGTGTGACCACAAGTTGCAACTGCCAATACAAAGTTATCCAAGGTGAGTAACATGGTATTGATAGTATAAGTGTACATACTGCCATCAGTGGTAGTACTGCATCAAGAGCTAGTTGATGCCAGCTAGAAATGATTACCCTTATGTTACTCACATCTAAAGAGAATGTGGTCTGGTGTGTATTGTGGTTGCAGTACTCTTTTTTTTATTTGTTTGTTCTCATCGCCTAAGATGGAGGTTCTAATGAGGGACATTCAAAGTGGTTTTTTTTTTCATGTGTGAAATATATGTGGCCTTCATACTGCCACACCCCACTAAAATACTCTTCCTCATCATTCCGACACCATTGCATCTTCATGGGCCACTTATTAAGGCATGCACACTACTTTAGCTGAGGTATGTTTCTCAACTTGAACTTGGAAAAGCTCCATTCCAACTAGTCTTCATATAAGATGCGAAAATAATTTAGTCACAAATTTGCCTGATAGATGTGCTGCAAAGGTGGCACCAGGTAAATGCTCAAAAATCAAATTCTTGTTTTAGAGTTTTTTGTACTCTCAGAACTTGGCCCAAGGTATCAATTCAGATTATGATAGGATGTCATTAGTTTTTTGCAGACTTATTAGAAAATAAATCATTATTTAAGCATTTTATGCCCTTACTTCCTTATTACTTAAGTGGGAACAAACCCTTTAAAAAAAATTACTGTAAAAATTTGTTTAACTGGATTCAGTAATGTAAATTTTTTAATGATTAGCGTATCTTAATGTTATACCCTTGCAATTAGGGATGCACCGATCCAGGATTAGCTGATACCGATACCGATACAGATAGCTCCCAGTGGGTGTAAGAAATGAAACCACAATACAGGACCAGACCTTAGTAGGCCTTATGCTACCTTTGGCATAGAAAGGACACTAATGATCCAACATTCGAAGTTCTTGTCATTTATTTAGCTTTGGAGACATTTACGTCGGCAAAATATTAGCTTCTTGAGTATAGGTCAAAATTTCCCCCGCCATTCACCAGGCCCGCGGAGAATACGTCGGACGTAAGTACTGCGTACAAAGGACGATCGGTGCGAAGAGGAGTAGAGGCAGGAACTACATCTAATGTCCTTAAGGGATTAAGGAGTTGATGCAACTACTGTACAACCGGGATCGGTGCTCGAGGGAAGGGCCAGAGGCGGGATGGACGTGAGCACAAAGTACACCTGCGCAAACCAGTCAGCGCAGGAAGGCAGGAGACGGGTCGGAAGGGGGGGGAGTGAAGGAATGAATGCGTACGCGAATGACACTGGCCCATTACATGCGTACAATGCCTTTCTTAAATCTCTCACATTCCGCTATAACCATGCTCAAGCTCATTGTCTATCAGTTGGAAATTAAAAATAACTATGACGGACATAAGAAACCGAATGCCATTACAAGTGTGGTTTTTTGCACGAGACGTTCCAAAAATGTACGCGCTGCACATCAAGTACGGCGTGCGGCCAGGGAGAATCGAATCAGATCGACCATATAGGTATCGGCCGATACCGATAATTTGGATCTGTATCAGTGCATCCCTACTTGCAATAGCAATTGATTGCTATCAAATAGTGAAAAAGTAGTTTATTCGTCTTGCATCGATTCATAATGAGGGAAATGAAANGAAAAAATAAATTAAATTAATAAGACTCTTATCCCCCTCCTCTCCTCTCCACTGATCAAGTCATTGAAGGGCCTCAACTGGTTAGCGGTTTCTTCTGTTTCAGAGGGCAAGGTATACGTGCTCGGTATACATTAAACCGGTACATACGCATTTAATGTCGCCTATACGTGCTTCTGAGTGCTGAACCATTCTCACTGACGAGGGATGAGGCGCTGTAATACGAGCTTCAAGTCGAGAAAGGCACTGGGATGGAGCGCGTGCCTGTGCATATTTGCCAACACCGAGCATCTTGCTTTGTTGCTTCATTAATCTGTAGCTAAACTCGTGATTAACTTAGCTCTCAGTGGCGTATGAGCATTTCTCGAACTCTCCAATAGTTATCGCTTGATCATTGCTTTTCATTGGTTTTCTAACTCAGCTTTGCGTTTTTAATGGCCGAAGGACAGGGTCGAATCAGATTCCTTAGGCCGAGCCCGGAATGCTCCGATTCGTGCAGGCGTTCCAGGCTGGGTGGGGAAGAAATTCGAGTGCAGGTGGAGAGGAGTGTGTCAAAGAAGCAACTGTGGAAATATGCGCACTTGGATGAGGGAAGGAAGGCAGGAGAGAATAGCAGAGCATGCGCGAGAACGGAGGGAATTGATTCCTCTCTCGTGTGAAGGGAAAACCAAGGAGACTGGGCATGCCAGTCAGAGGCAGTGGTATGTAATGTCATGGCTTCCCATCTTCGCTGTGATGTGCGACTTCGTCGGAAAAAATCTTTGCCGCTGATGACCTGTTCGATCGCGATCCTCATCTAGACCCATGAGGTCGTCTGGAGGCCGACTTCACATCCACAAGGTTGGGGGATCCATTTTCTCCTCCCGCTTTCGTCGTCAGTGTCCCATGAAGAGCGTCATGCACGCCTTCGTAGTTTTTCTACCTGTCTGCATCTTAAAGACGCTTTGAGATGAATGGGGTGATTGTTAGACAGGAGTCGTTGCACTTTAGAGAAACCGTGCATGAAAGTTCCCATAACCTGCGGCATCGGGGAATTCCCGTAGAGTCCATGTTAAGAAAATACCATTAATTGTTCAATCTTCCATCGATTCAAAAGCGCAGCAGGAATTGATTATCTTTTCATGCACGATACCCATACCGACATAGGTATGTGAATGCCCTCCGTGGTGTTATTCCTTGAAGGAGAGAGAAACAAAACGAAAGCTGAATCCGGGCTGGGAACCTCATTAATATTTGAGATGGACGATAGGCGAATCGCTGGGATTCCCGGCGGGAAAAAGGAAAGAAATGGGAGTTCCCCCTCCCTGCTCGTCTATCGATTTCCAGCTACATCGTGACTACTTGATTCTGTGCAGTTCCGTCATTGAAACAGAATTGCGACCTTCGGAATCGGGCAGCTGGAATCCGTCAATGGACCTCCCAGGCGTCGTCCGTTCTCATTCTCGTTTCGAAGCTGAGTCATTCCATCGCTTTATAATTAATTAGCCTCCTGAACAATGGGCGATGGGTCGATGTCTGTTCTTTATCGCCTTCCGGGAATGTCAGCACTTATGCAATTAGATAAACACAGACGGTATGATGACTCATGACAGCTATCTTTCGTGTCACCGTGTCGCCTTGACTCGATGTAATTAGCGGTCTTGTGCTGTTTCGTGTCAACGATCTCGACATAATTTGAAAGACCACGAACCGTGTTCCTAGTTTCGAAGACACGCCCAAAGGTCTCCCTGTCCCAGCTCCCGCATTCCGCAACTCCATTTTCCCGCTTGGAGCTAAGGCACTGGCATCAAATAGGACTTTAGAGTAATTATTTTTATTATACGTGTTTTGAGGTCTTCCTGCGGGAGAATCCAGAAGTCGCTCTGGTATTTTGGAGGCCATGTCAGGAACTGTTTACGATCGATGGGAAATTGTCGATCCCGCACTTGGGATTTCCTGCCGCATGAATCGACCTTAGCTCTTTTCTGCGTGTTTACGCTTGCTTTCCAAGGCCTCCGTGTGTCAAGGTCAATTCATTCATGTGAATGTTCTGACGGATGCTTGTTTTTGTTCGATGCCTTTGTTTCCAAGAAGAATGGACGAGCCGAAAACGGCGACAGTCATTCATTTCAGTATGCACACAGGTAAATGCATGCGAGGTGATTCTGTCTGTCTGTTCAGAAGACTTACTGGGTGCAGCGGGCATTTGGTGGATATGCTATGTTAGAGCCTTTTAATACCCATGTGCAGAGCCTGGAAAGAGGGGAAAATCCTAGAAGTGAGTGGTAGAAAATAACCGAGGGAGGTGAAAATATCCACTTCATCTGTCTTTTTAAGTTCTAAATGGGAATAGTTCTAAACGGCGGCAGATCTTGATATTTGCGTGCACCAAATCTGATAATCCGACTCTACGATTGGATTTCACGTTAGTCTATTTTCAAAATGGACTGATCTTATTCTTCAGAATCTCATTATGCAGGGAAGATTACAGTGCTTCGTTCACATCTTCGTCTCCGGTTTCTTCCCTGTATGCTGAAGGAATTGATTTCATGGTCAAACAAGGCAAGGGTGATATCACCAAAAGCTAGAGAGAGCTTAGTGTGACGGATGAGGATGGCATCGAGAGGCTCGTCTGAATGTCCGGGGTTCGGTGGTGTAAAGGTAGCACACCTGACCGGCAATCAGGAGGCCCGGGTTCAATCCCCGGCCGTTCCTTGGCTTCTTTCGACCTCTCATGCCTTCCATCGTCCGTCTCCCACTTTCCCTCCGTAACATTAGTAAAATTATATCTTGGTGTCAAGTGCTCTTGTAGATAATGAAATCGAGACTCTTGATCTACGCAGCTTTTACGAGGACAGTACAAAGTTGGATATTACTTTTTCCATTCCGTAAATGAGGGCTTCCATTCTAAATGAAATTCCATGATGCCGAATTTAATATCGTAAAGGCAGTACGTAATTGAGGTGTATTACTACTCGAAGCGCAGTCACTATTCACTATTCTGTATGCATGGAACCATGTGATTGTCATGAGAATGGCCGGGAGGGAAGATTGGATGGAGGAGAGGACGAAAGAAAGCCAGGGGCCGGCCGGGAATTGAACCCGGGCCTCCTGATTACCGGTCAGGTGTGCTTCCATTACACCACCGAACCCAGGACATTCCCTCGTGCCTCTCAATGACATCCTTATCATGACATGATGTTAGGGAAGTGCATATCACCTTTTCTGAATTCTAATGCACCATTAAAAAAAAAAAACTGATTTTCAGCTGATGGGACGGACTCTACCATCTTCCCTTGGTCGCCCTGTCGAAACTCTTGCAAGTTGTCATTTAGTATACAGAAGTAAATGAGACAATGAGGACTTTCCGATTATATAAAATTCGCCGTGATCTCGGCGCGAAATTTCGAGAAATGAACAAGAAAAAAATGAATGATATCTTTTGAAGAAGCACGGGGAAGTGCTCTGTTTACATTTGGAACGAGATAATTTCTTTCAGTGCGTCGTTATTTGGCATGGCATTTATTGAGGTCGAATCTCACCGCTTTTTCTCGATCCCGAAAGATTAACCCTTTCATGGCGTATGGTGCCAAATGGCATCATTATTTTCGAAATTCCCCCAGAACCATCTTGTGAGGTGAATTGGTAAAATTCTGTAGTCAACAGATAACGTTTGAAGCGCTCTTTCGAATGTGTATGTGCATTGAAGTGGTTTGACTAGTTGAGAGTACACACATACCTGTGAAAGTGATTGTGGCAACAACTGAAGAACTGCATGAGAATCACAAAGTACGTATTTTGTGATTCATTGTTTGGTTTTGCTTTTTGAAATATGATCGGTTGGGAAAATTTATGTGAATAAATAATGATTGTTAGAGTTTCTTTGTAGCAACTTTTAGAGCGAAATTGTTAACGGAGCCTCTTGATAAGGCGGATGATGCCATATGGCATCATGTCTGTATTTTTGGAATTAATAAATAAATTTGTGAAATTCTTGTAGTATCTCATTGTATGAACCATAACTACCCTATGATTTCGATTTGCGATTTTTTTGCGGCGTATTTCGTAACTCAGCCCTGAAAGGGTTGAAGCATGCCTCATTTTAAATGCTTTTGTATTTTCATTATATCCAGAGACCTGATGGGTCACTTTCGAAGGATTCTTACAAAGCAAAGCGGAAGAGCTACCGCCTGGAGAAGCAGCGAGTTGCAAATGAATTGGTGACTGCTTTGCAAGATCCAGCTATTGTCATTTTGGCAGATTGGCTGAAAGTTCGTGGATCACTCAAGGGTTGGACGAAGCTCTACTGCGTTCTCAAACCAGGACTCCTTCTCCTCTATAAAAGTGATAAGCTCAAGGTATGCTTTCTACCTGCCTTGCGTTTTACTGTATGCAAATATCTTCACTTGGCTCGTTCCTTCCATTGAGACCTCGGGTTAACTATGCTTCTCAAGCGCACAGATGAAGTAGGCCTAGACTTACTTGAAATGAAGTGATGCGCCTGCATACGAAGATGCGAAGTTGTCAAGATACATAAATTATCACAGTAGGACGTTGCGAAGCAGTGTGTTAACCCAGATATACCTGGCATTACTAAACGAAGGACGCTTGTTCTATATGGAGGCGCATCTCTGCACGTCGCCCTTTACATAGGACACCAGGCATATCTGGGTTAATGCACATGAAGTTCAGGTGAGGGTCAGATCAGAGTTTTTCATTTTTTTCAGATATGTTCATTATTCCAATCGCTACTTCTGATGCTACAAAGAATATGTAGGTGGAGTCTGTCCAATGAAGTTTTTCTTTGTCATCTGATTGTCTTGAAGGAATAAGACATCCTATAACAAAAAGACTGCAATTACATTATATATACCATTTTTATTTGGAAGGGAGCGTCCGAGAAGAATGATGCATAATTGAAGTGCCTTTATACTTTTGTGTACAGAGCAACCACTGGGTGGGCACCATCTTACTTAGCAGCTGTGAGCTGATTGAGAGACCATCCAAGAAGGATGGATTCTGTTTCAAGCTCTTCCAACCTCTCGAGCAATCCATCTGGGCCACCAGAGGGCCTCAGGGTGAAACTATGGGTATGTTTGCTTGTAGCTATCGCAAGTCATGTCTTTTTTGTGATGCATTGCTGCTTAAACAAATGCTTAGCAAAACAAGTCTTTGAATAATAAAGTAATACATATAATTGTGTAAAAGTTATTTGCCAGTTTTTTTTCTCTATGTATTTTTCAAGACCATGGGAAAATGAGCCATGGACTACACAATGTGGCCTTTTACTCTCACTGAGGTATTAATAGTTGAGCTAAACCTGGTGATTGATTGTGCATACTTATCCATACAGGTGCTGTTTGTCAACCTCTACCGACATCTTACTTGATCTTCCGAGCACCATCACAAGCAGCAGGGAAATGTTGGATGGATGGTCTGGAGCTGGCTCTCCGTTGTTCATCTCTGTTAAAGCGAAGCTTGGGACAGGAAACCCCTGAGCTCAATGGGTCACAGGATGACCCTGGCCTTGATGTAGAGGCCATGTCTATCCCAGAAATGCTGGATCCACAAGAGGCTGCATGCCTGCCAGTTCTAGTTCTAGATGATGCTGATGCTGAAAAGCACTTCAAGGGATATGGTTAGTGTTAAGTTCTTTGGATTTTGAAATAATCTTCTCTCATGGGTTCTCTTGTCTAATTCCATTTTTTGAGGATAGGTCATTTGCTTCATATCGATTCACTTTTGAAAGTGTCTATTTTCCAGTTTATAAACATTAAGAAAGTTTAGAAACATGTCAGACAAACCTGCTTGGATATGGTTGGTAGCCTATATTGACTAATGGTTTCTGTTTCAACTTCGTATTGTGAACTTTTGCAAGTACATTCACAATCTAAGTCACATGACTTTGACATTTCTTTCACTGAACTCTCTTGAGCTTCTATCTGTGCCTATGGATGCCATTGCTATCATTATCATCAGCATTCTTTTGTGCTGCAGGCCTTGAAGATGATGGTGGGAGTCACACTGATGAAACTCAAGAATTGCGACACTCTGAGACTGAAACTGATTCTGATAAGTCTTCTTTGCCAAAAGAAGATGGTGCTAGCATCGGGGCAGAGGAAGTCCTAGAGCAGTGTTACCAACCTCATGAGACTCTATATGTGTCTGCACCTGAGGAAGACCTTGTCCATGTGAGTAGAGATCATCTACTTCTGTGGGTTGAGAGTGTGAAGATTTTTGGCTCAACTGTATTACACTTCATGGGAGATTTCAGGGATTTTGACCAGTATAAAAAGAAAAGACTCCCAGGAAATCTTATCATTGTGTCACTGGCATGGATGATGCATGAAACATCTTTGTTAAATGTGTCATTTCCAGTTATGGAATGTAATGCTATTTTCCTAATAACCATGTAACTCCAAGAACAATAGAAGTAAGCCTAATTAGAGGAAAGATCCAGATGTAACTGTGAGTTTGTGTTTTAAGATGTCCAAAAAGGCAAATGGAGATGCTGTAGATTGAAACTGAGACTTGGTGTTTCCATAGATTGGAGAGTCAGGGTCTGGGCAAACGGAGGAATTGGCAGAAGACAATCGCTCAATTCTCTGGTTTCTCTTGAAACAAGTGAGGCCTGGAATGGATTTGTCACGTGTTGTTCTCCCCACATTTATCCTTGAACCTCGCTCATTCCTTGACAAGCTCTCCGATTACTACTACCATTCTGATTTCCTTGCCAGGTATGCTTCCAAGTCATGTTTAAACTTCATGTAATTATAGCAGTTCTTGGTGATTACCTGAATTGTAGAAATGCTTCTTTGTGGCAATTTACTAAGTGGAGTTATTTTTGCATATGATGTATTGCTTTTCTTCCTGCTGAGACATCTCATCCATTATTATTGCAAATGCTTGACTTGACTTGACAAGAGAGACTTTAAGCTTGAGAAACCTTGAGGTCTCATTTGTTCTCTTGTTAAGCATAACTTGAGAAAAAGCTATAGATATATTTTTGCACTTAGCTATATGGGAGTGTGTCAAAAGAAAGCTAATATCTACTGAAAGAATTCTCTCTGCTTTGTGAATTCCATTTTGTTGAGACTATGGACAGTCCATGTTTAACAGAAGCAATCATTTGGTGATGAAATCTGCTATATATTGATGATGAGGTATATCCTTTTCTTGTGTCACAGGGCAGTTAATGAAAATGACCCATTCAAGAGGATGAAGGAATGACAGTCCATGTTTAACAGAAGCAATCATTTGGTGATGAAATCTGCTATATATTGATGATGAGGTATATCCTTTTCTTGTGTCACAGGGCAGTTAATGAAAATGACCCATTCAAGAGGATGAAGGAAGTTGTACGTTGGTACATGTCTGGATTCTATAAGAAGCCTCGTGGGTTGAAGAAGCCATATAATCCAATCCTTGGGGAGACCTTTCGTTGCTATTGGCTTCATCCAAATGGGTCTAGGACATTCTACATTGCTGAACAGGTGGGAGTCTTGTATGGATTTCTGTTATGCTGATTATGTCATCAATTCAATGCCAGTATTGCAGTGCCTTATCAGCACTTAATAAGGTCAACCTGTAGAAGCATGGGAATAGTATAAATAGGGGGCAATGGGCTGTACACAGCTCTTTGCAGCCACTGGTCCATTATCCCCCTCACCCTAGACACTGCACTTAATAGGATTTTCATGCTTCCCTTACAGGGAAGCTTGAAAGCACCCCTAACAGATGAGACCATTCGAATGGTCTCATTTGTAAGTGCTCCATTTCAGATTATGCATGGATGCTCATATCCTCTACATTTGCCTCCCTTTTCGCCAATGAACACTAATGTACACCGAATCAGCTAACTTGTTCCGAAGTAGGCTAGTACACACCAACCCCAAGAACCTGTGAATTTGCTTTCTTATTAGCATACCATGACATAGTTCATTTGCCATGGGGTGCTCAGCCTGCACTCTTGGGCAGATCAGGCTAGGCTAAACAGTCTTGTGTAAGATGGGCACCCCTAACTTTATGTTTCTCATCTTTTGGCTCCTGTCCAACAGGAAACACCCACATTTTTCTTCCTGAATCAAATGAAGAACTACATAGCTTGGTAATTTAGACATACTAAGAATCCTAAGGAATTTTGGTACTTGTGGACTAAAGGGGCATGGATTTTTCGTTCCCAAAGATTTAGTGGGTCTTCACTAAACCCAAGCACATTCTACTACATTAGAACGCCGATTATCCGAACGCCGATTATCCAAAACGCCAATTATCCAGAACGCTGATTATCTGAACTGCCCCCGTCATTTTTATTATTATTATCGTACGCAATGTGCATGGCATGGAGCATTGGCGTACAAACACCGGAAAACAATTCCGACCCCTTTATTGAAACTTTATTGAATGCCTTCCTGGATTCAAAGAATGTGATGAAGACGATATGCGTGAATGGCTGGAAACTGATGTCAGCGACCCGGGATTTCAGATCTTAACTGAAGACGAAATTGTGGACTCCGTGAAAGCAGAAGCCACTGTTGAAGGTGCAAAAGATGAAGAAGCATGCGATGAACAGGACAACAAAGGCCCTACACATGCTGAGGCATTTGCTGCATTCGAAACTGTCATGGCATGGTGTGAACAACAGAGTGAGTGTTGTTCAATGCAACTTCTACTTCTGAAAAGGATGAGGGACTTGGCAGCGAAGAAAAGAATTTCAAATTTGAAACAACGGAAAATTGATGGTTACTGTACATAACACACTGTACAATAAAGCACCATACATGTATAAGGTAAGAATATATTGTATTCTATGCACTAACTTCTTTAACGCAACCTTTCCATGGGAGTGTTCGGTTATCTGAAAAAATAGGTTCCGAACCACCCCTGGTCCCAATTAGTTCGGATAATCGGCGTTCTACTGTACTAGCAATAGAACTAGCAATAAACGCATACCCCTGGAGCCGCATTCCTTCTATGTTGGGCTAAAAGAGAGCGAAATTCGACCTATTTTAGAGAATGATGGGTCAGTTGGGTTAGAAAATAATTGCAGCCTTCAGCCATGACCCTTTTCTAACCCAACTGACCCATCATCCTCCAAAATAGGTTGACTTTCTCTCTCTTTGGCCTTTGACACTGAACTGGGAAAGGAATTATCGAGGTCTATGAACCTTGCTGGTGCACTGATGGGTCTCACCAGACTAGGCCAGAAGTGTGCATGAAAACCCAACCTGAACAGCGTGACTCGGGTCAGTCTGAGAGGACAGACCTGTGACTTGATAAACGCCGCTTAGAAAAATCAGGTGCTAATCTATCCATATTAATATATACATGGCTCTACCATTCATCTTGTCTTAGGGGTGTGGGAGTAATTGTAAAGTTAAGCCATAAGTACCAGAATTTTCAGCCACCAATAAGTTCTTTTTACTAAATGTCATCCTGCCCTCCCACCTGATCACTTAGTCCCCCAATATTCAGGATCACAAGTAAACTACAACATGTAATTTAAGCGCTGAACACAACCTCCCTTGCTTTCACTGTAATCTTTCATTTGGTTCTTTTTAATCATCAAAGTATTCTTACAGTAGAATTTCATTAATTGACCATGTATACTTTCACAAGAACTCATTTTAAAAGCTCCTGCAATAAGTATTATAATGGTATTCCCACTCCAACTAGCAAAGCTGGTGGTAATGCCATTCCCATGCCCAAAAAAATGGGACCCTTGTTCTCACTTACATTCTTCACTAGGGATGATCACCTTGAAATTTTCATAAAGGCATTGATATATGAAGTACATCTTGGCTTTCATTTTTCTGCAGGTATCACACCATCCTCCTGTGACAGCATGTTATGTGTCAAACCGTAAGGAAGGCTTCACTGTGAGTTCATCCATCCTGGCTAAGAGCAAGTTCTATGGGAACTCCACATCAGCCATATTGGAAGGGATAGCACGGCTCACACTTCTTCCAAGGGGTGAAGAATACCTCATGACATTGCCATATGCCCACTGCAAGGGTTTGTTCATGGGCACCCTCACCTTGGAGCTTGGTGGGAAAGTGAACATCAGCTGTGACACCACTGGTTACTGCACCGAACTGGAATTCAAGCTCAAGGTTCTCCATTTAAGTCATTTTCATCTTGGCATAGGGATGTAAAAGTTTTGGTTTAATTTGAGATAGATACCCCAAGTGGGAGCAAAGATTTTGAATTGTTGTCTCTTCATAGTAGAGTTTGCTTGGTAACACAATATGTCTTTTCCTTCATCAGCCATTTCTGGGTGGATCAGAGAGTGTGAATGCAATATCTGGGAAGATTTCACTGGGAAAGGATGTGCTTGCAACCATCCAGGGTCATTGGGATGGCCAGATAACCATCAGGGACAAAAGACTTAAGGTATGTTTTGTGTGATGGTCTAGTGTGCCTTGTACTTGTACCTCTGTTCAGTTTCTGACCTAACTTGCCATCATGTAAAAGGAGAGAAGTACTGGTACTACTGTGTTTTCCATTTGAGTTTGATACTCATCACTGGAGTCCAGCAGGGATTCATTTGATTGTGGAATCTATATATGAAGGTGGCAGTTACAAGAGGCTTGGCCTGAATGAAATGCACTGTGTGGTGTTGGCTTGCATGTGACTTCTTGTACCCACCCTTCAGTAGTTTTCACTCTTGTTTTCAGCATGGAAATTGATCCGATGTTACTTCCTGCAGAAATTGCCATTTTAATAACCTGGACAAATCAACACGAGGGAAGTAGCCCTGTGGAAAGTCTCTCTCTGGCCAGTGATCTGACTGGATTTGATTTTAATTAACACATTGACTGCCACATCAGCCACCCGTGGCTGACACTAAGAAGTTCTTCCCTAGCCATGTCAGCCACAGGTGGCTGACACTCAACTCTGAGCTACTTCGATCCATTTTGGTTGATGCCTGTATGCATTTTGCTTAGCAATTCGAAGGCTTGGCCTCAAGCGAATAATAAGCAACATGATGTTGACCTCTATGGAACATTGATTTACTACATTCTTGAAAAAATGAACTTAATTGATAAGGAAGGTGGTTTATCAAGCATTATGTGCACATTGGTTGGTTGTTCTGGACAAACTACACAAAAAGTATATACTCTATAATATACAGTATATTACTCTTCTTCCCGGCTTGTTCATGTTCCGATTCTTCCTTCAGACGTAAATGACATGCTTTCTTGTTGCTGATTTTAGTCAATTTCTTTCCTTTCTAATATTTTTCAGCAAAACTGGTGGATGGGAGAAATCATGACCTTCTGTTTGTTCTGTTAGCAACAAGCCTTGAAACCTATCATCTTGTTTTTCACAATAGATTATTATTCTCCAAGTGAATCAATCATCTGTGCAAAGGTTGAAGAGTTTTATGCAATAGTTTTGACATTTTGATGGCATATACTGACAAAATGACAGACTACCAGGTCATGGTACCACTGATTCAGTAATGATGATCTTCTGATCAGGTCTCTGGTAATTATCCCCCAGAGCATACAGTAGAAGTCAAATCTTGGCAATGCAATCATGCACTGCAATCCCCAATCATCTGACTTGCAGATCATATCATTCATAGAAACCATAGATATCCCTGACTTGCAGTTCAAGACAATTGAGTCATCAATTGGTTTAAATGTTTATTATCTATTACTTATAGATGAAAGAAGTACTCTGGAGCCCAACAGCAGAGATGCGAGCACAGCGACTGAAGCGATTCCTCGTTCCTTTAGACCAACAAGGCCAATGGGAATCTGAGAAGCTCTGGTTACAAGTCTCTGAGGCAATTCGAGCTAATAACCAGGTAGACCTACCTTTCTTGTCCTTTTTGCATCTTTTTTGAGCTCATCATTCCTTGGAGGCAAGCTTTTAGTGGAAAGCTCCTATTGAAGCTGCTTAATATGTGGAGCAACTGAATCAACATAAACATCCTCACCTAAAGTGACCCAGTAAACTACTTGAAGTAGTTAGTGTCTCCCAAGTGGGTTATTTATTGTTTTTTTTGGTCTGTAAAGACAAAGCATCCATCTACAAAGTGGTCATGAAATATGTATTGATATTCAAAGTTGATTGCAAACCATGGGAGGTAGAGGTAAGAAATGCAAGAGAGGACACATCAAAGGATGAAAGAACTGAAAACTGGAATACAGAATGAAATGAAAAATGGAAAGCCCTGGGTGAAGTAAACTGTTGTAAATAACGAAAATATAATCTGGTCATGATCATTCTACCTACAATTCAGTGACATTTGATTCTGATGTACAAAATGCTGATTTTCAATATAGTCCTCAAAGTAATCTCAATTGAAATATAGATTCTGCAGGTTTTTAGCTTTCCAGTCATGCATAGATTTTAATGCATTTATTTTGACAAGGTTGATGTTTTAATGAAATGATTTTGGTTAAATTACTCATCCAAGTTGTTAATTGTGAATAGCATTTGCACATGTTTGTATCCTTTTCATGTATGCTTTTTTTGAGCACTGAATTACCATAGTTTGAAAAGAAAAGGCAGTTGGAAACAAGATTTTGTCTTCATTGACCAATTAATTTTCCCTTTTTTCTGGAAATATTCTGCAATGCCTTGTGAACATATTTTTCTGAAAAATGTATGGCTCTTCCCATGAGATAGCATCAAGAATTAACAAAAAATAGTTTAGATGAATGAAGGTGAATCTGAGCAATATTTGACCTGCCTTTTAATAGGAGTGGGCAACTGAGGAGAAGACAAAACTGGAAGATCAGCAGAGAAATGGAGCCAAGGAGAGAAAGCTGAAGGGAGAGGAGTGGGTCCCTGTATACTTTGAACAAGTGAGTCCAGGTCATGTCCATCATCTCAATCTCTTTGCTCAGGAGATCTATGAGGGCTGTTCATTTAATTTGTGGACAGTTTCAGGTTCTTAGAAAGCCTGATCCTGTTCATGAATTAAATGAACAGCCCTCATTTATAGCAGAATATAGTCTGCTTACTGGGATTGGTGGCAGAGTGGTTCTGGCTTTTGTGTGAAACCTGGGAGGCAAAGAGTAAAGTCTGGGTGGCTGCAGGTTCTTTTTCCATTGACCCATCTACTTTTGTGGGGAGTGTCAGCTTAGTGTGGGTAACATGAATTTCACTCTTTGCCACATCTAGGAGATATGGGTACTATATACATTAAAAACCACTCATGCCCATCATGAGCTTAGGCAATCTATGAGCTGCCCCCAAGGCCCCACAGGATTGCGGAGGGGTGTCATAGCCTGAGAGACTGTGATTTAGGTGTGATGCCTGTGCCAAACAGGCAACCCTTCCTCTCTTTGTATAGTAATCCATTATCATTTGTGTCTGCTTCATGTCTTGCTATTTAAAATAAAAAAAATATATATATTTAGTCTGCTTGCACTGACGGCTATCTCAACTCCAGACAGAGGCCTCTTCCATACCTCTTGCTTCTTTGTAAACCTATTACCTCAGTCATGTCTTGCCAAGTATACATAGAAAGATCCCTTGAAATAAATCAGTAAAATAAACCAATCATGATGAAACATGTTTGTATCCATAGGATCGCCTCCTTGGAGAATGGGTATACAAGCATGCAGACCATCGTCCATGGGACCAAAGTACAGATGTCTGTCAGTATGAAGATAATTATGTGATTCACACTCACACTCGCTTGCAAGGAGCTCCCCTTGTCAAATCAGGCAGTCTCAGCCTGCAGCACTTGGTATGACCTGCCTTCATGACCCTCATTGTAAATTTATGTATCAAGTCAAATACTGAGTAGCCTTTTTTGGTTCATTTAGAAAATCATTTTTGAAGGGAGCAATAAAGCTCTTAGCTTTTTTATTATTGTGGTTTTTTGGATGCTGTTTTCTGCATTTCAAACTCTCTTCCTTATTGCTGTCCAAGTCTATGCAAGTTGTGCAATATGGGAGTATTAAATTGTCAATGCTAATGTTAATATGACATTTTCTGTCTCATGGAGATGTTTTGAATTTATTTATATATGCCTCCTTGAGGAATCTATTTAATAAATATACTTCTGTCACAAAACTTTGACATATGCTTGTGAAATAAAAGGAAGGTATGGAATTGTGTGCATAAGGCCTATGCCATCCTTCCACAGGGTCCATCCATGAGAGACATTCTGAGTTATGGGTTGGGGTCTTGGAAGGACCCCAGCCCATATTAAGTTTTCTTCCTATACTTTGGAAAGGAGAGATTAAGTTGCAGTTTTGGGAATAATATTCTAAAGACTATGTTCTTGACTCATGTTATATACTTATACTCTTTCCACCAATAGCTGGATGGAGGAGTGCCAGGAGTGACCTTCCAAGAAGAAGATGATACGGGGACTTCAGAAAGTGATGGTCTTGTATCTGGTATCCCAAAACTGCGACAAAGACCAAGGGGGTCTTTATCTAAGCTCACCTCAGCATTGATTTCTGCACCCCCTGTCAGTAATGATGCACCACGTTTTAGTGAATCTTCACTTGGTGTGGATCCCTCTAGGTGAGAAAGTTCACCTTCATGCATAGGATAACGGATAATATCTGTGCTTAAACCATGACTTTCTGGAAGATTTCTCCTCGTGCAGGCAGCAAGTGAAGTGCTTGAATTCTTCGTGGCTAGTAGCATTTTAATACCAGTTTTTCGGGAAATGGAGATAAAAATAGAAAATTTAAAGAAAGCATTTTTCTGGCTGAGTTCTCTTGTTTCAAGTATTTCAGAGGAAATTTGATTGATTTCATAAAGCAGGATTGTAGCTATCACTATTCATTTTGCTTATCTCCTTAGAACTATGTCTATGAACCATTCTGCTCATTCATGCAGAGATGTTCATGGGAGTACAAAGAGTAAAACAAGTTGGCCAAGCCTAGTCCAATAGTGGGCCTCCTTTCAGTTAAGAAAACTCTCATTTTGTCACCTAATTGAACAAAATGTCATCTCTTTCTGGTCTTTCACCATCAAAAACCTCTTTTCTCATTTATATTTGGTAAACATAGACAAACCGTGCCCAAAAAAGGGTGATGGGAGGATGGAGGATTGTGCATGATCAGATCCATCTGCCACAAAGGTTGGTGGGGAAATGTCAGCTCTAGTTGCTGACACGGCACCGCGCCCAAAGCCTTGGTTGTACGCACATGCACATTGTGGTCCAGAACCTGAAGGGCTCATGGGTACTCATGCCTTCCCTCTGTAATCAAATTAAAAATCCAAAATTTGCCCTTAAAATGCCAATTCTGGTGCTAATTTGTCACAAAGCAAAGTAACCTGTATCTTGTTCCTATCTATCTGCTTGCCAATTTTTGCATTTATCAGGCTAATATTTTTTTAGTTATTATAGTTTTCATTATCAAAGTAGGTGATGAAAGGAGAACAACACAACCTCTGCCTCTTTGATAAGGCAAACTTTCCTGTGCTTCATTGACTGAGGCAAATGCATCAGCAGACTTGCACGGCACACTTTTTTACCTATCAAGTTTGAACTGGCATAGAATGTGATGCAATGCCTCAATTTCAATAAAATTTGGTAATTTCCCTCTTTACTCTAATAACATGCAGTCTTTAAATAATTGCATCGATCTAATGAAAGTACAGGAAAACCTCATTAATTCGAAATTCAGGGGACCAAAAAGTACAGACTTTTGAAATAAGTGAGTTTGAATTATCCGGTTTGGCCATTGTTATTTTGTAATACTGTACTAAATCCACATGTTTTGCACCATATATTCTCTTCCTTTTGTTGGTTTCATGGCCACCGTCTGTCAGCTTTTCAATGGTGCCACAATAAGGAATGTGGATCGAGTTGAAAGTGGTATGGTGAATTCCTCTGTGATATTGGTCTTTGATTTTGCTTTCTTGTCCACTTCACAAATAACTTTCAACTCCTGTGAAATACTTAACCTGTTGTATTTCCTATTGTTCACCACATCACCTGTTTCACTCATAATGCAGAAAGAGAGAGAGAGACTTTGCTGCAGCAATGAAAAGTTTTTGACTGAAGGTCATACAATGTGTGCATGATATAGGTAAGAATAGAGGGGGAGATTTAGTGAAAGGGGCATTAGTCTATATTTAGAATTCGTCTGAATAGAAAAATGAAGTTTCCAAAGCAATTTGCTGACTTGCAGCCATTAGAGTTCAAGGTTTGAGGCAGGTCATCTGTAAGTCATAGGGAAAAGGGCCCTTCGAAGTAAATGAACAAGTTTCTGAGTTTATAGCTCGCAGGACCAGAAAATGCCTTCGAATTTCATAGTGTCCATATTTCTAATTATCCTTACTATAAAGCATACAAATTGTTATCTACTCTGACGAGGAATGGAAATTACTTTGAAGTATCTGATACTTCAAACTATCCAATATCAAATTAACAAGGTTTTCCTGTACTGTCATTATTAGTGAAAATGATTTGGCACAGTTTTTTCTTAACACCAGGTATATACAGATATGGACTCTTTGACTACTTGCTCAATTCTTATCATGACTTCCAGCAGCTGTGTTTTAATATTTGGATCCCAATTATTACTGGATATTAATCATACGGTGTAAAAAAAAATATATTTACCTTTTGGCTGCTACAAAGTAACTTAGTTATCAACATGGCAACTTCAAATGTTTCTAAACATCATCAAAAGTTTATGAAAGAAGGTAACTAATTGCTAACTTCACTAACTTTTTACATTTTACTAGCCTACTTCCCAAGCATGGGGCTAAAACATGGTCTTGCATGCTTTTATAGCCTAAGTTGCATATTTGTGTTCATGTTGTTTTATTCGCCTATCATTGGTATTGTAATATTGTAACACAATCTGCTGGCTTGATATAGGTTGATTGAAAGAGTATGAACTGACTGTAGCATCCTTATTATGAAGAAGAGTTGAGTGTGATGTCTATATTGCACACACATGGGGAGAATTCTTTTGTGATGATCCAGTTCCTCTGACAAAATATGAACAAGGAAATGGGATATTGTGCTTGCAGGCTCAAGTGTCTTGGTGAAGGAAGGGATGAGATCCAGAAGCACCTGGCTCGTCTTAATTTCAAATTGGATGAACTTCAGCGGGATGTTGGGAGTCGAAACCTCTGGCGAGAAGCCCTGCTCCTCCTCCTCTTTTCCATCTTCCAGGCCATCTTCCTCAAGTGGCTCCTTCGCACATGAGCTACAAATACTCATTCATCTGCATGGGCACTAAGCTAATACTCCCTCTCTTCTCTTCCATTCTGTTCCACATGCACACAAAGCACAGTCTCTTGCATTCCAGTCAATGTGTGCTACTTATTTTCTTCAGAAAATATAAATCTCAAGACACATTCCTTCCTCCTGAATCTTCCAGAGCCCTCAATTGAACACTATGCATAAGATTTTTAAAAAAATATGTAAATGTACTGTTGCTCTTTCTCTCAAGTAATTTTTTTCTTTTTTGTTGATACTTTGATATTTTACCGAGTACTGTCCTAATCCCAGGGTGATGGATGGCACTTTCTTGTATCTGATGCCATACTGTGGGTTTGATCTCGAAAATGATCTGTTTACAAATGCATGTAATGTGCTAAAAGTCCATTATTGCAATAGTTTCTGATTCTGTTGTGTCCTTCCCCAAGTTATTTATTAATTTATTCAGAGTGCATTTTCCAATGTCACTTGAGGGCCAAGCTAGCTGCAGTGCCTGATCTCTTCAGAAGAGGTTAATTCCGGTGACTATGTGACCATTTTTTATTTCTTAGAAGATGGCATTTTAGGAAGGAAACATGACTTAGTAACATCTTCGTGGTGTTTTCTTTTCTCTGTCTTCTTCATGAAGATCCTCCATCCAATTATGTTCTGTGCCTTGAAAGGCATCAGCCTCTGTCACTGCGTAAATTGTTCTGAACTCCCTCGGAAAGCATGATTTGCTGAAATGTGCCAGTGTGTTACTGGAGCATTTTCCTCACTCTGGGACTGGAATTTGTATGGACTACTTGGTTCAGGTTCAGATCTATGGTTATTGTGCACTTGTTTAATTGGGCTAAACATCACATACCTTTGTGGCTTCTTATTACACTAACCTCCATTTCTGTTCTAGTGACCTATCAGCAAGGTAGTTTGATAGCCACAATACTACTGCTGTTGAATAGCATGCGCATTCTGCGCATCTCCTGCATTTAGTGATCTGCTCACTCAGGAGTCAGGAGAGTTAGTGATATCAAGAGGCGATTTCGCCCATTTC